CTTTGTCGTTTACGGTCTTTTTAACGGTGTTTTGGCGACTTTCTCTGTAACGCGTGTGGTGCTACGGGTCAACTGTGTTTAAAAAAACTCAAGGCTGGAAACTTCAACCGGTCCCGAACACCAACCATCGCCACTCGAAGGCCGATAAATTGCGCTAAAGGCGACCGATCTCCCTCCAAATTCCACTGCATCGATCTGAGAGCCGCTCCGTTTTACCACCCATTCTGGCTAAATCGCTTTGTAGGTACGCGTAATCCTTTTGCCCTTACTACGGGATTCAAATATCAAAGCGCATCTGACCAAATAAAAGACCATCCAGGGGATCGTTAGGAAACTTGTTACGTTTGTCCGATTGTCAAGCAACACCGTCTGGGGAGTCATAGGTTTAATTCGACCTGATGCATTTTGATATTTGAATCCCGTAGTAATAGTCTCCCTCGCAGCCGTTTTTTTTTGGATGTCACGCAACGTTCCCCCAAAAGAACGGCTGCTTTCAACCGAACTACATTCCTTTCTGATTGTCCTTGCGGTTTGTTCGCGGTCTTATTGAACAGACCAATCACATACCAGAAAATCTGAATGACGTAAGGTTTCACGCGAAAATGTGGATGTGGCAGATGATCTAGCTATCATGTCGGGAGAAACAATGAAGAAATTTGTCAATGAGAGCTCAAAATGTTTCACATGTTCATCGTTGTGCCCTGGTAAAGATAGAGTATATATTTTTGGGAAAACTTCTCACAATTTCGTTGAAATTATAGAATCTACGCTTAACATAGACGTCAACTGCTACGCCAACGACACGAACGCTAGATTGTTTGAGAGGTTGTTAAAGTTTCAGTGAGCAACTGAGAAAGTAGAAGAAGCTAAAAACTGAACTGAAACTCTTTATTCGCACTACTTCAAGAGGTTACTACAGATTATAAAAGTCAGAATATATAAGAAACAGTAAATTACATCAATAATCAAAACGAAATACAAGACGCATTTCAATCGAGGCCAAGGGCTAAACGCTTGCTTCGACCTACAGATGGAGATCAGAAGGAAAAAAGCGCGTGCTTGCCGTGAACAAACCGGGCGAAGGCTTCGAGAACACTGCAATTTAGGTCGGCCAACGTCTCCTACACTACTTGTACTTCTTCATTTGCCAGTCCGCCGCTAGCTGGAGTGAACCCGATTAGTTATGTTCGTGGCTTCTTATCACCGGTACAGGAAATCGGCCCGAATTATCGAGTGTTTCCCGTNNNNCACCAATGTTTCAACCAGCCAAATTCGAAATTGGAAAGCCTACCGATCTGGAGATAAAAGCATCGGTAGTGAAAGATCTGTGGGAGGAATTGGAAATGGAACGGCAACATCTCTGCTTTGATTTTCTGGAGGAATCGAGATTGATGGTAGTTTTTTGGCGGAATTATTCGCTTCGGGCGACGGACACTTCTAAAATAGGTTTCCGGCCTTGTCTTTCTTTTAGCAGTTGAACACCAGCATAGCTCTAACTCGCCGAAAACGCTTCAAAATGGCCTGAGACGCTAGGAATCAACAAAGAAAACAACAAGCCAATAAGGTAAGCCCATTTTATTTCAAAACAAGACATTTTTTCTCTCTTCTAAGGCAAACTGATAACATCTCATACAAACCTTTATAAATATAAAACGTTGCGCAACACTGTAAGAGTCACGTCTGCTTTTCTAGAAGTGAGCTTGGGCTGCCTGTGGAAAATTTTGAACTTTGACGACGCTTTGCGAAAAGCTCCTTCAAGCACCGCCATTTGTCTTGTGTTTTCCACATGAGGATCGCGATAGAAAACGATATCTAATTGGACGAGTCTTAAAAGGTGAGTCTGGCGCGAAAAGGTTCCTGAAAATGGAACCCGAGCTGTGATTGGCCACTTCGGAGAAAGGAATGTAGTTCGGTTGTCAGGAGCCGTTCTTTTGGGGGAGCGTTGCGTGACATCCAAAAAAAAAAACGGCTGCGAGGGAGACTACCGTAGTAAGGGCAAAAGAATACGCGTACCTACAAAGCGATTTAGCCAGAATGGGTGGTAAAACGGAGCGGCTCTCAGATCGATGCAGCGGAATTTGGAAACTTTTGCCTCTGGAAAGGGTAGGTAATAGCTAAGCACTCTCGTGGGTGGAGATTTGAGGGAGATCGGTCGCCTTTTGTGCAATTTATCGGCCTTCGAGTGGCGACGGTTGGTGTTCAGGACCGGTTGAAGTTTCCAGCCTTGAGTTTTTTAAAAACACAGTTGACTGGTAACACCACACGCGTTACAAAGAAAGTCGCCAAAACAGCGGTAAATGGACCGTAAACAACAAAGCAGCTACGGAAAAAAAGGAAAGGAGACTTCATCATATAATATCTTCCTCGCTTTTGTTTTCCTATTATACAGTTGACTGGTGACACCGCACACGTTACAAAGAAAGTCGCCAAAACAGCGTTAAAACGACCGTTGGCAACAAAGCGGGTACGGAAAAAAGGTAAGGAGACTGCACATGTTTTATTCCTCCCCTTTATTATCCTTTAAAATTTATTTCTTCTTTTCTTTTTATAATTTTTCCTTTTTTTAACGGCGCATACGTACGCTTGAAATTCGATCTTAATATGTTAGTTATTGCTGTTAATGAACTTTACACCCAAAGTCACACACCAGACTGAAACCTGGGTCACACACAGTACGTTTGGGCCGCATGTGGACTGAGTTGTTCTTCAGTGTTTAGTGCATTAAGAAAACCGCATAGATTATGTTAAAAAATGTCCAAATGTAACAGACTGTTAAGAAGAAAACATCTTTTATCAAATACCCGCTACTTTCCCTAGTTTCATTCAGGTCGAAACAAGTTTCCTTTGGAAGCAAAATGCATTGTTTTTAGCAAACAGAAAAGGAAAAACTTCTTTTAAAAGCATTCTGCATTTACAAGCCGAGATTGAATGAGACATAAGAACCTGATCAACCCATTTTACGGCCACGAACACATAGTTTTTAGAATCAGTCAGTTGTTCTTTGTCTTAACAAATAACATAAAATAAAGAGAAACGGAAATTGAACTTAACTACCTCTTGTAATAATAGTCAAATGACTGGAAAACAAAGAGGGCTTTACCATATGGGCTAACAACTCAAAATAACTACATGCGCATTGCCAAGGAAATTTAATACTAAATTCTTACAACTGAAATGCAAGAAACTGCATGGCGATCACTCCAAATCTTCGGTGAAATTATCATTTACGCAACACGACACCTGGAAGAGGAAATGATCTTCTAACATTCTTTTGTACGTTGCGGCGTAATTGACCGGTGTCCGGTTCATATAAATCGTTTTCAAGACCTTTGAACTACGGTGCTTTCAACAGTATAGAGAAGATAATAGGGCTTTGAGAATGTCTTCTATACTTTAATGAATAGTTCTTTAGTGCCTTATGCCACTGGCCATTCCGGCAGAGGTCTATAATGATGTTACACACGAACGTTTCCTAATACGTATCCGCTAGGCGTGGATTGAAACAAAACATATCGTGTAACCACTCAGCCACTCAATAGATCCGCGAGTTACTGATTACAGCACCACTTAGGAAGACCAACACAGTAGCCACTTTCAGTAAAATTGGATTTATTGTCAGCTGAATGGGCTAATAAAGAACAAGACGCCGTAGTGTAATTCTTTTTGCTTTGTCAGAGGTGACCCTTGGTTAGATATCTTCTCCCCTCACAGACGAAAGGTGTCTTTGTTACAAGCCATTGATACTTCAATAAAAGTGTTCTAGAGCTACATGCAAAAAATACATGCCTGGAGGGCAATGGATAACCAGTGTAGGCTATCACATTTTTGTGAAATTCGTGTTGTGAAATATCTACAAAGAGGATTATCTAAATGTAAGTAAGCGTTGTTTACAACTGTCGCCAAACATCATGTCATAGCATGTGTTGTGAGCACGTATATCGCCGGCTTAGTGCAGTCCAGCGCTAAACATTTCATTGAGCAAGAAAATTCTCTAGGTCAGGGCCAAGCTTAAATTTTAAAGAGAGCTATCTTTGCGCAATACTTCTTTACTCATATGCCGTAATATTTTAGTTGATCATGATCTACTTACCTGAAGCCGCTTCAACCACACATGAATCAGTGAGTCCAATCCAACTTGTAACTCAAAGCGCATACCTGGTTGTTTAGTACAAACCACTCAAAGGAAAACTAGACCCACCACATCATATGCGCAGTCAAAGCTAAATGGGATTTCGTCATTTCCGGTGATTTTCAGACCATTTGCCCCTAGAATCACTAACAATACGAATACCCCATCCAAGACCCTCCCACCCCGATCAACCACTACCATAGAATGTAATATTAGTTTATATGAGATCATATCAAGGTTGCTCATATGCATTGGTCTGCATATTACGCTGAGACTGGTTCGACCGTGAAAGAAATCATCACCCAGAGGAGCTGCAGTTCTAGATGGGGAGCTTATCAGAGAGGCGGATATTGGAGCCTTCTGTACCAAAGAAAACCTCCTGAAATTTTCGCACTTTAATTTGTGTAGGGCACCAAAAATAGCCTTGTGTACGAAGAAAAATAACCACAATGTTAAGCCTTGCATGTTGAAGATTAACGGATCACTTTAATCTTTTGGTTATAATCTCAACTAAATAGAGTGTAAGGTCTGCACTGCCTGCACTAAATTTGGTAGTATTTGAGATATAAAAAAAGAGAGAGATCACTGTTTACCGGCTCTGAGAAAACTATAATTCAGTTGTACTATAAAGATGTTAACCCTTATGCCTGTAACAGTGATTGGTTTTTTATTTCTCCCAATCATATCATCCTTGAATCAAATGCTAAAGTCGTGAAAAAAAAAGGAAATTACCAGCGATTGAAGAAGCTCTTGGTTGCCAAACAAATACTCCTTGTCGTTACAACAGCCTGAATGTAGGGAAATCAGTGTGAAGAGCAATGTTGGGTTGCAAAAGGTAAAACTAAACGTCAACAAGAGCATTGCAAATGAAACGTGAGCGGTAAAATGTTTAATAATTTATCTTTTGACAAACAGGATAAGTTAATTAATTATCTAAAACACAATGTAATCATCAATATCCACACTCGCAGTCCACGGTAATTCTATAGTCTTTCGGCTCCCAATAGTCCTCGAATCTTGGTTTCCCTGTGCTGGAGAACACCCGTAAACACTGGCCTTCCTTCTTCTTCAGCACTTTGATTGTGTAATACTTCGGCCGACATCGGAAGTGATTGAACCAACACTTATCACTTGAACACGTGACTGACCTCACGTGACGAGGGAAAAATTTTGGGCCCAGGTTAATCCAAACCTTACTCGTCTGGCATGTCCAGGGGGCTGGGTCGGTTATCTGCTCCACGGTGAGTGAGCTGGATCGCTTGGTTATGTTACGTTTGGTCACGTGATATTGATTTTGAGGTGGTAAGTGGTTTTGAAGATCCGTGGAGTCCATAGCCATGTATCGATGATTGTACGCGGTGCCGAGCCGCTGCCTGAGTAAGTCACGTTTGACGGGCTTGCAGTCTCTGTCAGGAGTTTTCCTGGGAAGGGAAAATGTAGTTGCTCCACCGGCTGATTTAAATGCCACCACAATCAAGCCTATCAGTAGAAACGGCCATAGCTGTGGAAAAAGGAAGGAACACGAGTGATGATAACAGATCGATCAATTCGATTATGATGATGTAGGCGGTCTATCATAGACCGCCACTTCTACTACGCGAGGAATGCAAAGAAAATAAACTGAACACCTTCGGATAAACAGTCTTAACAAGAAACGAAAACACATCTTCTTAATTAATTATACAAATTTTCACACCAGGCGTGGCGGTAAGCTGCATGATCCCAATTTGAGTGTTTCAAAATAGAACATCACGACGTATCGACGTTATCTTTTCGCTACCCACAAAAAGGCAGCATTTAAAGGAAAAACGTTCACCAGCAAGTAGCGCGCGCATAGCGTCGCTGAATCCATGAAAAGAACTTGTAAAATGCGAAATAAACTCTTGTCATTGTGGCCGAAGTGAGTTACTTCGGCGTTCTCGTAACTGTTAAAAATAATTTACATTGTTGCTGCAGTAGGAAAAGCACAGCACGTTTTATTTACTTTAGCAGATGCTTTACCTTTCCATAAGCTATTGAAAACAAATCCCCCGCTAACGTCGAAATGCAATTAAAGATAAAATTAAAAACCATAAAGAACTCATACAGTTATGCTGTCTTGTTATGGCACGACGGTGGTCTTCTATTTGATACAAAAGATCACGCTATAATCTTAGGTTCACAGTTTATTTCCCTGTTGGGGGCGAACTCTTGGAATCTTGTGTTGTTCACAACGAACATTTCTGATCGATAACATTGAAATTTCGGTGAAAAATTTACCCGATTGCTTCAGTTGCGATAAAATCATCATTAACTGCAGTTTGTCGACAAGAATAGGAACTCCTATGTGAAAACGTCGGGAAAGCCGATTCAAAGTTTTTGTTATGTTAGGAGAATAGAAGCAGAAATAACAAAAATAAAAAAACGGGTTTTAAGCCACTCCCAAATGTACCTTACTTAGACCAATTCTTATGTGGTTTCGGCATCATAACGGCGTACCTAATGGTGAGAAAGTAAAATACTCATGTCCAGGATCTTCTACAAACTTTCACAATTTTACCTCGAGGAGAGGAAATGACCTAAATTTCTCGCCCACGATGAGTAATAATTTAAGGAAATTCGTGGACCCGCATGTGGGTGTTCTCTTTATCTTGTTCCCGTTATCTTTAAGTAGAAACCATCGGATATTCCGCCATGGTCAGCTTGCACAAAATGGCCCACTAATTTGCTCAACTTAGCTTGCCTCTCTACTACACGAAATCTGTTGTTAACATATTGCTGACTCGAGGTAACTTTTCATTGATCAGGGATCACAGGAAGAAACATCCTCATTCACTTACACTTTACTAAATTGTTGTACCTTTTGACCATGAGATGTGAAGTTGAGCACCAAAACCATAGTGGAAATCCAAGTTAAACCTGTTGAAAAATTTACTTCAAGTAAACTTTCTCTATTCGTGCAAGACGTGACTCGAGAGACGCTTCGAGCTCTATGTCCCTTGAGGACGAGGAAACGTTGACGCAGCAAGCCGGCATATTGTGGGCTTATGTCGGTAAAGGAGGTGTCAGGGAGGTCCCCTAATACGTGAAAAAACGCAGGAAAGCGAAGGAGCATTGTTCTGGATTAAGGCGATCAAATCTTTCGTGAGTAGAATGTTGGCATGCCATTTGGAGAAGACACTTCAGTTGATTTTGGCACCGTTTACTAATTGTAAATTAAGAGAGATAAAGAGGCACCTACGGCTCCTTAAGCCTAAACCTAAACAATGTGAAAGTAATAGCAACAAAAATAACTTTCTTCCGGAGATTTATAAGACACTGAGACTTTGTTAAAAATCCATCGCTTCTTAATGGAGATTAAGGTGTAGATCACTCTTACACTGAAGAAGAGATCTCTTGTCATGCTCCGATTTTACTTTCTTAACTTTTAAAGCATGGACAAAGAAGTTTGCCGTGTCTGGCTAGCTATAGTCATTTTACATGCTCTGTTGTAGATAAAGTTTCGACAAATGCCCCGTGCAGCATACTACATTTGCAATGAATTGCAAATTCACTCAATGCGTCGCCAAGTCTGGAAGCTGGCGAAGATATTATAGAATTATCTCCTGTTAGCTGAAAAAGGAACTGCTCCCTTCGTAAGACAGTCCCTTACCATTTCATGGGCAATAAAGAGTTACTTAATGATCAGATTCTGAGTAAATAATAAAAAGTTTAGAGGATCTGCAAAAGACCTTTATCAACAAAGGCTTCAAGAGCTGAGATTCCTTCACTGCTGAATTTTTAAAGAGATCAACATGAAAATTGGGTAAACTACGGTGAAATCGAAAAGTTTCCCTTGCGGAGGAAGAAAATTTAAAGGAGAAACATCTAAGTTTATGGAAGAAATCATGTAGATCCTTGGAAATGTTAGCCAACGTTGTGAAATTAGCCATCTGCATGTGATGCCATTTTTACAGCAAATCGTTGAGGTCAGACCTCATCTTATGATAAGACAAAAGCATTCGACCTCATCGTTTTACTTATAATTATAGCAACACTTTCAACGTTCTTTCCGACATTTCATCTTTCATTGGGAGTTTTCCAGATTGTGTCTCTGTAGGATGCAAACTAATCGGCTTAAGTCGTCGTACAGCAACCCTTTCTGTTTTTCATGTGCTTTTCAGCGGTAACTACAGTCGATGCTAGTTTGCAACAATGATTCACTGTCAACAGTCTACACTAAAAAGAAGACCTGGCATAAACGTTATCGTTCGAAGTCATCTGCACGAAGATTAAACTGTAGCATAATAGAAGTAGAGGCATTCTTCCATTTACAAATCCAATTTGTCCTCTTCTACAATTTCCTACAGATGACCTCCAAAGTTGTATCACACGGATTTAAGATCCCACAGAGTGTAAGAGCAACGTCATAACAACCAAATATTAATTAATATAGCATAAAAAAAAAATTAACTTGACATTGTCGTCTTCATTTTGATTGATCATCTTCCAATGTTTTTTTACTGCAAGAACTTTGGTAATTTTTAGCTGACAGATTGGCCCTAATTCAGTTTACTCTAATGAAATCAGCTTATTAACATCGTTTTCCGGCGTTTTTTTCTTGGTTCATCTCTTTCCGCAATTGTAGAATTAGAGTGTATTCATGCGATCATTTTGACTTTGGAAATAGATTAGGAAGTTGATGATAATTCAAAAAGAAGGACTGGAATGATATTAACTCCGTTTCAACTAGAAAGGTGGCAATAAATCTACACAGGACACGGTTATTTCTTTGCAAATTTTTAGAATGCAATTAGATCACATAAACTTTTAAACAAACATTCCTTGATCGATGAATTATGTTTTAGTTGACAGAAACATCAAAGCACTTACAAGTACTTGTAAACTGAATGGCATATAATGAGCTTACAAGAAAGCGATTAAGTCACTCTCACCTGGAAATCGTTCGCCATCACTGTGGACACCACGACGGTCAATGATGTACATCTACAGCTTATTTCTATAAACTACCCTAACCCCGTCCGTAAATATCATTTATATCTACGTTATCTTTCGCACTTCCCGTGATATTACTTGGTTGTTATTCCGATAACGAACCAGGGTAAACAAAACTACGGATGTTTGGAATGCTGACCCTTATCCTCACCAAGGTCCTAGATATCAGTCACAGCGTTACTTGAAATAAATATGGTTCCCTTTTGCATGAAATAAAACAGCCCTGACGTCCAATGATTTATGGCAGTGGGCAGCAACTTGTCACTCTTTTGATATCAGGGTTCCTACCGTTAATCGTCTGTGGGTGTGACTTGGGTGCGTCTAAGATTCGCTCTTGCAATTCTCTTATCTTTCCGAGCCTTGCTCCTAGTTATTCCAATTACGCCTCATGAATTCAAACCCGTCAGTTAAATCGGGCAACATGGAATGTTCGTAATCATTTCATGATGTAAATTTCATTTTTCTGGCGGTTATGTGATACTAAACAACTTATCGGTTTCGCCATTTTGTCAGTCTCTGCAGTGAAAAAATGTTTCGCCACTGGTTATCTTTCGCAAATTGACAGATTGAATAGGAAATGAGAACCGACAGTAATAGCATAAAAAAATTATCCATGAACTTTCGGGAAACAAGGCGGACTTTTGGTATAGTTATCCGCTGAAAATCAGATGACGTACTTTTATCTGAAATAATAGGCTGCACACGTAAATTTTCAGCCTAAGTCTTTGTTAATCCTCCATAAAATTGCATCAAAATTTTATCCTTTCCTCAAAATAACAGAAGAAAATAAGCTTCCTATTCTTCCTAAATTTCCTTTGTTTGGTCAATATTTGGTGTAAAAGACACGAACGACGGAAAGGTGGTGTAAATATCATTTGTTCGTCGTTCGTCGTCTTACAGAACTGGACTGGGAGAAAGTTTCGTCAACACATAGTATCTTTATCGTCTAAATGGTTGCATAATCCAAATTTACAAATACAATACTTATTTCAGTATCTCAAGAATCTGCACTTTCCCTCGTTATTTCATATCAATTCTATCAGTCTCTGATAATGTGACATAAAGTGAACAATCTTGTAATATTTTTTACAATATCGAAATGCTGTTCTCGTTGCCTCAAAGGTTAAAATTTCTCGATTGTAATTTCAGGACAAATCTGAGGCACAGCAATCACTCTATTCGCTTCTCTTTGTATCCAAAGCAGAAGCTAAAAAAGATCTGAACGAAAATTTCATATTTTCGTTCACGTGCAGCCTGTGAACTCTTATCAAATCGAAAGCAAACCAGTTTTCCCAAAGATCACGTTTCCTTTCAGCTCCGCCGAAGTACAATCTTAAATTCATTTTGGATGTCATGAAGGTGACATTTCTAGTGACTTAACTAAAGCAACGTCCACTCTAAGCAAAGAGATGAATCATAATAATGAAAACTCTACTCGGTTTGTTATAAACTTTACTCTATCCTGTGTCTGGGCTTTTGACGGATGCTTCTCGTACGTTCTGCATAAATAATCTTAAAAATGTAGACTTCTGACACTATTTGTTACTATCAACATTATCATTATACACATGGCATTTGTAAAGGTGATTCTAGGTCACAACTTAATCTCTAAAAAAAATAAACAGCTAATAACTGCGAACAGAAAAACGAACAGAATCATTTCGAAAAAGAAACTTCAACCCATTTCCTTTCAAACGTGGTCTGATGAGGGCGAAGATATTTAGTTATTTTTTGAGGGTTAAGCTCGGAAAAGGTTATTTGGTGCAACGCTATATTGTCAGTAAATGTTGAGTGGATTTCTAAAACACTTTAAGTTCGTAGAAGCTCAGCAAGGAGTTTTCCGTAATTTTCAGGAAACAAGATATATTACTCAGTTTTTAATTACTGCATCGATGACATTTTTAAATCTAGTTGAAGTGGTGTACTTGTCAACAAGACACGCTATTTTTTTATGAATCATCCTCCGGGCTGAGGTACTCGCTAGAAAGCTTTGATTCCAAAAACTATTAATACTGTAAAGCATGAAGAAAATGATTGTGTTGAATCTTTTTCAGTTTCCATCCAAATAGAGCATTAAAGTTTAAAGAAAGATAATTATTACACACATGCGAAATTCGTTCCTCCAGTTAACAAGTAATGTAATTAACAATTGTTATCCCAACGGATTACAAGACCATTCAGTGATATTTAACTCTAATTTAGCTGTCTTCTAAGTAATTTATATTTTCACTTAAATCAAATTGTCTGTGGATGAAACATTCGTATGTCAATAGCTTTTATAGAGCAATCAGTGTTTTCATTCAGAAACTAGGTCTGCTCAAGGGGCATGGATGTCTTTAAAAGCATCGTTATGATGTTGAGTGAGGTGGTTCTTTTTCAGAGTTTCCATTCTGTGAAACTTATGCAGTGTCATAGACCAGTAAAGAAAAAGCTTCTATTGTGTTATGGGTTCTTTCAGTAGTCGCTGGTATTTTGTGCAGTATATGAAGCTAAAACAAAATAGAAGTTAAAAGAAACCTCGCGTGCTGGAAAAAAAATTTGATAGAAGTGATGATAATTGAACTGTCAGCTCTGTTGGAGATCTAGACAGGTGATGAAGAAAGCACTACTGCTAAATTCGACTTAGGCTCTTCTGGCTAAGTTTCAACTTTAGATACGATGACAAAAATCTCAATAAAGCATACAAATCTTTGTAAAAGTACATGTGCTTCAAACAGTCTGATTAATAGATCGTCGTCAGGAATCGTTTTAAAAGGAAAAGGGGAAAATCAGATCACGTAGAACTATTTTTAAATAAGATATCGCGTGCAGACAAACCTGGATGGCATTGAGACAGGCGTTTCTGTCAATGGCTGTTTGCATTTGACGTATTATGACTACAGATGACGGTCGGGGTCTATGTGACAAGTGTCTCGTCCCATCCAAGACTCATGCCGTACTGAGTACGGCATGCGTCAACACTTTTACAAATGGTGTAGTCTTACTAAACACTCTCCAAAAAATTTCAAAAATCTCTAAATGAGTAAAAAAAATGAAAGAAACACTTGGAATAACCAAGACAAATGAATTAGCTTTCCACTGATTTGAACACTGAAAATTGCTTTTGAAAACTTGAGTAGCATGCTTTTTAGATGATAAAAAATAATCAATCAATAATGTCTGTATTGGCAACTAAAATTCTCTCTAGTAGTCGCAATGACCTTGAAGAAATACTAAAAATCACAACGAGAACGTATTAAGTGTTAAATTGTTCAAGTTGATTATAAATCACGAACTTCAACGGGAAAACTTTCGCAAATACTTGAAGGAAGCTTTACAAGATTTATAATTTGAGAAGTTTCTGTTGATGTCACATCTTCAATGACATCTAACTCGTTTTGAATTGGGCTGAGTGGGCGGAGACTCATGTATGTCAATAGAGATTCCCAAGGTGAACAAACGTCTGCACTTAGATGGGTCCAAGCGAATCAGTGACGAACTTGCAAAGAATACAGGTACACCTGTCCAGTCGCCAAATCTTCAACCTTGCTTACACTTGCCGTTATCGGCTGGAATATGATCATAATAGAAACCAAATAGAGATCTGCCTCGGCCTTTTTGCCTTATAGCTACATTTTGATAAACAGTCATAATATTTACAAGAGAGATTGGGCCCGATTCGGTTGCAGAGTGTACCTTTATTTCTCTTATCAAAGTCCTTAAAAGAATGCCCAAGAGAAT